ATAAATAAATAAATAAATAAATAAATAAATAATTATTGTTGTTATTGTTGTTGAGGTGTACGTACGTACGTACGTACACCTGAATATTTATTTATATGAATAAATTCCTCTTTATTATTTATCTTATTTATTCTTGACTTTTATTCTTTTTTTGTTTTTTTTTTTTAATTCTTTTTTTTTTTTATTAATAAAAAGAAAGAGGGGCCCCCTTTTCTTCTTTTTTTTCTTTTTTTCTTTTCTTTTTTTTCTCCCTCCTCTCTCTCCCTCCTCTCGTTCTTCTTTTTCTTCTTCTTCGCTTTGTTTTTCTTCTTTTTTCTCCTTTTTCTTCTTTTTTTCTTCTTTTATTGTTATTATCTTATAAATAACAACTATAATATAAATATAAATATATAGAGTATGCTGCTGCAGCAGCAACAACAACAGCAAACAACAACAACAGCAGCAGCAGCAGCAGCAGCAGCAGCAGCAGTGCAGGACAAAAAGCAGAAATAGTACATATATATATAATATATACATATAATATATATGTATTTTCCTCTTTTTTTTTTTTTTAATATAATTAATTAAATATAATTAATTAAATATAATTAAATAAATATAATTAAATAAATAAATAAATATAAATAAATAAATAAAGAAAATGTCTATGGAACAATTAATGGCCTTAGTGCCCCTAGAGGCAGCAATGTCTCATAAAGAAAAAGGAAGAAAATCACGATGGGAAAAACCCAAGAAAAGTACAGATGGTAGTAGATGGGGTAGCGAGACGGTACGTCCTGCTGCTGTTGCTGCTGTTGCTGTTGCTGCTGCTGCTGCTGCTGCTGCTGCTGCTGCTGCTGTTGTTGTTGTATTTGTATGGTTTCTTGATGAATATATATCGTCATGTGCTGCTTCTTCCTCCAGAAAAACAACAACAACAGCAGCAGCAGCAACAACAAGAGCAGCAATTATATATTTATTTATATATTTATTTATTTATGTATGCGCAGGATAAACCATTTCTTCCTCCTCCTTTTATAGATTTACCTATAGGTATGACTAGTGTACAAGTAGATAGTTTCTTACGTGAACAAAGATTAGATGATTTATATAAAATAATAAATATAAATAAAATAGAGGAAATAAATAATATAAATATAAATAATAATATAAATAATAATATAAATAATATAGATAATATAAATAATATATATATAAATAATATTATTGATAAAGATATAGATATAGATATACGTCCTCCTTCCCCTACACCTATATATAATAATAAAGGTATAAAAATAAATACAAGAGAACAAAGACATAAAATATATTTATTTAATGAATTCTTTTCTCTTATTGAATATATGATTCATAATATACAAGGATTTATACCTCCACATTATTATAAACCTACAAAAAAAATTAGAAGAATTGAATTCCCTCATGAAAAGGTTTGTTGCTGTTGTTGTTGTTGCTGCTGCTGCTGCTGCTGCTGCTGTTGTTGTTGTTGTTGTTGTTGTTGTTGTTGTTGTTGTTGTTGTTGTTGTTGTGGGGTTGTTTTGATGGGTCTAAGGGTGGTGGTACAAGGGGTGGGGTTGTTGTTGTTGTTGTTGCTGTTGTTGTTGTTAGATAGGGTATATTCTTATTATTATTTATTGTTGTTGTTGTTGTTGTTGTTGTTGTTGTTGCTGTTGCTGCTGCTGCTGCTGTTGTTGTTGTTGGGGTGGTGTGGTGGTGGTGCTGTTGCTGCTGTTATTTGGTGGTTTTTGTTGCTGTGGTGCTGTTGTTGTTGCTGTTGTTGTTGTCTTTTGCTGCTGCTGTTGTTGTTGTCTTTTGCTGCTGCTGCTGCTGTTGTCTTTTGCTGCTGCTGTTGTTGTTGTCTTTTGCTGCTGCTGCTGCTGTTGTCTTTTGCTGCTGCTGCTGCTGTGTTGTGTTGATGATGTTTATGTTGTTGCTGTTGCTGCTATTGCTCTTATTCCTGTTGTTATTGCTACTCATGTACCTCTTCCTCCTCCTCTCCTGCTGCTGCTGTTGCTGCTGTTGCTGCTGCTGCTGCTGCTGCTGCTGCAGTACCCTGATTATAATTTTATGGGTATAATAATAGGACCAAGAGGATGTAATCATAAAAGATTAGAGGCAGAGAGTGGATGTACTATCTCTGTTAGAGGAAGAGGAACACAGGTATATTTATTTATTTATTTATTTATATTTATTTATTTATTTATATTTATTTATTTATTTATTTATTTATTTATTTATTTATTTATACAGAAAGAAGGTAAACGTGATCATCAGACAGACGAAGAAGCATCCATGCCTATGCATGTACATATCATGGGGGATACAGATGAGGCAGTAGAGGTAAACCCTAATAAACCCTAATAAACCCTAATAAACCCTTATAAACCCTAATAAACCCTAATAAAACCCTAAACCCTAGATATATACATATATATATTTATATATATACTTATATCCTTTTTCCCTGATTTTCCCATGATTTTCTTACAAAAAATTCGGTGATTTTCTTGCGTTTTTTTCCCAATTTTTTCCTCTAAACATAAATAAATAAATAAATAAATAAATAAATAAATAAATAAATATATATATGTGTATACAGAGAGCTGTGGCATTAGTTGAGCCATTATTAGACCCTCTACATCCAGCACATGAAGAATTCAAGAGAAGAGGATTAGAACAACTTGCTCTTGTTAATGGTGTTAATTATACAGATTTAGATCAAAGAAGATGTGCTATTTGTCAGGCTACTGGACATCTAGGTATGAATATATTTATTTATATTTATTTATATTTATCTATATTTATTCTATTTATTTATTTATTTCTTCTTTTTTTATTATTTATTTACTCTTTTTCCTGTCGTGGATGCGCAGCACATGAATGTCCTGATAATCAAGAACTACAGCCATTCAAGAAACCAGAAGTTGTAAGAAATAAATAAATAAATAAATAAATAAATAAATAAATTAATTAATTAATTAATTAATTAAATAAATTAAATAAATGAATAATATATATAGTAAATAAGAAATATAATTGTTTATTTTTTTTTTTTTTTTTC